TCTTTCCCATCCTTCTCCTTCTTCCCTCCTTCTTTTTTTGCATTTCCGATCATACAAAGTTCTCCAGACATTATATATTTTTCGCCAAAAAGTGGGGGGCCCGGGCCCCCCCCCCCGGCCCCCCGGTTCCGCCGCCCATGCGATGACCATGCCCATTCTGTTGTCTCTAAGGCTAAGCGTATGCTTGATTACATTTGGAGTGTAGCTGGCTATGCTTCTACAGATGCATTTCTTACTCTTTATAAGAGCTTTTTAACTGGGCCTGGGTAAATGAGGTTCATGGCGAGCTAGTGGACATGCTCTGAAACAAAATCGAGAGACCAACATTTTTGTATCTTTTTTTTTTTTTTTTTGTGTTGAAAAGATAACGTTATTGGTATTTTGTTTTAAAGTTTTTTTTGGGCACCTTGGAATGCAGCATACTCTTATAACACACACATCGCATGTTTTGATGAGTTTTTAAGAAAATTGATGATTAAAGAGACCTTATGTAGTTATAATAGTTCTGTGAAAAATGATGTATTTATATATTTATATACATATATATATATATATATTACAGATAAGAAACCAAAAAGAATGTCAAAACCTAAAGTTGGTAAGTCACATTTGTTTCGTACTGTATTATTAGTACTTAATATATAAAGTTTTTAAATCGTAATATTACAATTTCTGTAGAAAAATATTTATTATGACCCTCATTATTAATATTATCGAATATCTTTAAAATACTAACAGATTTAAGGATTTTTAAGAGTAAAATAGTGTAATACATTCTCGTATTATCAGGAATGATGACGACATAATTAATGTCAAATTATTGAATCCAAACACAATGACGTGCATTTAAATAGTTGGAGTATGTATTATATTGTCCTAAATTAATCAGTGGACCTTTCGGTTTTTAAAAGTAAAATTAAGTGTATTTTTATTCAAAAAGTATAAAAAGTTAGTGATCCATTATTGTCACTTTTTAATTTATATTTAATTAAAACAATTGATGGCCTGGAAAATAAGAAATTTATATTTTTATAAATCAAGTTTTTTGCCATGAAAAAATGTGTTTTGATAATAAATGTTTTCCTGGAAATGTTGAAGAAATCTGCAAATTTTTGCAATTTTTTTGAAGTAAAATTAGCATTTTTATGGATGAATAAGAAAATAAGAAAACAAAAATACATTTGTTTAGCTTGTTTGCCAGTATTGAACGAATTAAAACATTTGATGGCCTTGAAAATAAGAACATGATTTGTTTTTGGTAACAAAGTTTCCTGGAATTTTTTTGGAGGAAATGTTCCATTACCGCAAATACAAAATAAATGTTTTATTGTATTGTTGTGTTATATCATATCTATTGATTTTTATGATACCAATTTCCCTTACAATTAATGTAACTGTCTTATAGAAAAAAATAATATTGTTTGTTTCCTTCTCTTAGGTGAAGAGACTGTAGAAGCAGAAGTTGATAAAGATGCTGAGTTGAAATGCCCATGTATACGACTCCAATCAGAATCACAACCTATTTGGGAAAAACGTGATCAGAACGGAACATATAATCGTATTAATAATGATTCACGTTTTGAAATAAGTAAAGATAATAAAGGGTCCGTGATGAAAATCCGAAAGATTACATCAAAAGATTCTGGAAAGTATCAGTGCATTTTTTATGAAGATGGGGAAAAAACCATACATAAAATAACACTTAAAGGTAAAATACACTAATAATTCCTTGGTGGGTTGTTATTGATTTTATGTTCATTTTTAGGAACAATTCTATAGAATAAATGCCAAGGTCCGGCGACCAACTTTGAAAATTTATTAAGAACAGCTAAAAAACAAGTATGCGACTTTTGGCTGGTTTGGTATACATACATATATACATATATATATATATGTATATATGTATATATGTATGTATACATACATATACATACACATATATATATATGTGTGTGTGTATGTATAGTATATATATATATATGTGTGTGTGTGTGTGTGTGTATATGTATATACGTACGTATGTACATAGACATGTACTTATGTATATACATATACACGTAAGTATATTCAAATGCACATTTGTACATATTTTAATTTATAAAGTGCAAAAATACAAAATGTTTCAATGCTGTAAAACGAGTGTACATGTGTATGGGAATGAGAAAATCCTTAATTAATTACTAGCAAAATTGAAATATGAAAATATAAAGTTATTTGTGACGGGAAATTTTTTATTATTCAAATTATAATTGCTAGATAAAAAGTAAGTATGAAAATATATTTTGCTCCTGACAATCAGTGTATTTTTTCAAAGATACCTTTTTTTTTTTTATCAAAATACATTTTTAGAATTAAGACTCTTTTACATAGGAAACAGTCCAAAGATGTACTATCATGAAGTAAAAAATTAAGATTTTAATCTCACATAAAGATTTTTAAATTTGTATATTTAAGTATATGTGCTTGCCTTTCATACACAGTAACATGACAGCACACACGTTACTACTAACTGAATTTTATTAAAACATTTTAGATCAGCGGCACCCATCAGATTGATAGTGCGTTCATTAACAATTACAAAGCAAAATACAACATCACAAAATAATTAACAAATAAGATAAATCTAAAATAAAATACAACGAGCTTTTAAGTTTATATTTGCCCTAAAACTACTTCCTCCAATTAAGCGCAGGTTTGAAGTGTAGACCTAGCCTACCCATCATAGATTGCCCTCAGTAATATTTCAGCAACGTCCTGCTACGTCAAACAATTTTCCATGATGTACTGTATGAAGTTCAGTTTTTAGTGACGAGTGTGCTGTCTGTGTTAATACTGTGCGTGATAGGCAAGCACGTATAAGCTAGGTTAGAGTAGTGTGGGCCTAAACTACAGTTGTAGCACTAGTTAGTTTAATAGTAGCAGGGAGTTACTAAAACCACATGCCTGTGAAAACAGTGTATGGTTCAAGTACAACATACATCATTTTTAAATAAAAAACGTGGGCTGATAAATGAATCTATAATAAGCAAATAAACGAAGCAATAAATAAGCATCATGACTTATTGTAATGCAAAAAAAATAGATAGGATACAGAGCATGTCTTTAATCTGTATGTTTTTCTTAGGAACATCAATGGACATTCTAGAATATACAAAATTATGTTTGTGATAACTATAAAACAAAATGGCAAACCGATATAAATACTGTCATAATTTGCGAAGGATTGGTCAATAGTCAATGTAATACCTTGTAGTGGTCTGTTTAAAATATCGAACAACTCACTGAATATTTGTAAACAACGAATTTCTTTTTAGAATTCGTAAAGTTCATGGCAATGTATGCACTTTCTGCAGCAGTGCAGTTGAAACAATCTTTCATATATTTTATGAGTGTGATTATGTTTTTTTTTTTAAATATATTTGCAAAATTGATAAAAGGCCAATGTTATGAGCATTTTTATTAATGGAAAAATATGTTTGGTATTGTTGATTTATACTACCATATATTTCTATCCGTACATAAGGCTAGAAATATCTAGTATTTTAATCTTTTCAACCATGAAGCCTCTGTGGTCTATACCCTAGTGGCCAGTTTTGTATGCACTTTGATGTCCAGAGAATTTGACTTTAGAAATTTTAGGGTGGTCCAAAATCATTGGTAACACATTTTCAAAATGTGGCGAAACGTTAGAAGGTCAGGGTCAAACGTCATAGCTATAGGGTTGTTATAATTAGAGTCTACCACCAGTGGTTGCGGAGATATAATGACCCTATTGTTATGACTTGAAACGTGTCAAAGGTTAGAAAATGCATTTCCGGTAATGTTTTAGCAAAATTCTATTAGAGGAAATAAAAATATAAATGTTCTGAATAAATAGGCACCAAAATTAACTCTCTACCACAAGTGGTTGTGGAGATATGACAACCCTATAGCTATGACATTTGACCCTGACCGTTTTGATCTTTTGCCACATTTTGAAAATGTGTTACCAAGCCAAATATTATTCTTGGACCACCCTAAACCAATTTCTGAAGTCAAATTCTCTAGACCTTAGAGTGCATACAAAACCTGGTCTGGCTACTAGGGTACTAATGGTTATGATTCTCGACCTAACAAAGTCACTATTTTAAATTTTGTTTTGCTTCTTTCTCTTAGTTGTAATATTTAAAAGTGTAGAAGCAAAACTTGGTAATGATGTTGAGTTGAAATGTGATTGTGGACCTCCATCGTCAAATCCTATTTGGAAAAAGCAGGCTGAGGATGAAACATACGATAGTATTTCTGATGATTTACGTTTTCAAATAACTACAAATTATGAAGGGTGCATGATGAAAATCCTTAAATTTTCATTAGAAGATGTTGGAACATATCGGTGCGAAGTTCAACATAAAGATGGAAAAATAATCATATATGAAACACTGCTGAAAGAAACAGAATTATACGACCGAAGTTAGTAACTTTTTTTTTTTTCAGTAATTAATATCTG